TTATAATTAATTTAAAATGCAAATGGTTTTGCTTTGTTTTATTTTTAATCTTCCAGTCCAGCACTGGCAAACCACAAGAATGTGACCTTTTCTTAGCTGACGTCATCTCGTATTACGTGCGTATGGGACAACAGCCGGTGTACTTCAACATGTACTACATTAAGGTGAGAATGAATGCCCTTTTGTACTGTTTTACGTAATTAGTTTTTTTCAGCTATAATGGCATGAGTTTCAGGTGTAATTTAGTCACCAAGTAAGCTTGCATGTAGAAGAAACAAGTTTTTTTTTTGTTTTTTACTCTTAAGTTTGCAATAAATATGTTATATACAAATAAGCATAAAAGATGTGAAAGCAGTATAAAAAGAAGAGAAAGTACTGAGCCACAGTTCAAGCTCAGAAGGTCAAGCTGTTTATTACCTTATTTAAGCTGTTGAATGATCTACAGAACACTTTTTGAAATATAACATACCATTCTTGTTTTTATTTTATATTCTATTTTTGCAGATTTACTTTTCCAGCAAGTCCAAAGAACCTGTGGAAGAAGTTTTTGTCACAGACCTGGAAGTGGATTTTCCAGAGTTTAGAAAGGCCCAAGCTGCACATAAAGGTATTCAATAACCACATTTGGGATAAGTACAGCCATTGCCACCCCAAATTTAGGCCAGCAGTTCATTCAGCCAATATTTACAGCCAACATTCTTTCCTTAGACACTGTCAAACAGAGGAAGATGCCTGCTGAGCTTTGTGGAGCACTGATCTCGTTTAGCTACTTAAAAGTAAGTATCACTTGTGCTGTCTTTGTTGTTATCAGAGTATTTTTCATGTACCTTGTCACATACAATATGACTGGTGTTGCTGATTGGTCGGTTTTCCAGTCAGTGACGTTCTTAAGTCACAAAGAAACATTCAGGATTTTTTTATAGAATTAAAAATTAAGTGACCAGCAAATCTTAGTTGACCTCATATGGCCCTTCACATTCCTTTTAGGTGTCGCTAAGCAACCGGGAGATTGAGAGAGGGTTCTCACTCAGAACCACAGGCGCCCAGATTTCAGCAATACCACAAAACAAAACTGAAGGTAAAGTTACATGATTTGACTGAAAAGGTATTTGTTTTTGTTAATCAATTTAGATAAACATTAACTTCAACCTGAACAATTTTAAATAAATCACTATTTTACTTCCCACTTTGTAGATCTCAACTGTCTCATGGTCACTTTCAGTGACACAAAGCCAAAGAGTATCACGGTAGGTCTGGCTAAGCCAAAACTGTACAAAATGAGAAAACTACATACTTTTCTTTCTTTCTTTTTTTTTCGGAAAATATATTTTATATATATTTGCCGTGCTTGCACAGGTTCTGCGCGATCTTCTTCACTAATGTTCTCTGGGTCTCAATCGGGCTCGAAGCAATATAGACGACGTCATTGTTTACAATACAACCGGAGCACATGTCGCTGAGGCAAGGGGCGGGACATTTAGACGTGCACTAGAGGAGGTTTAGCCAATCACAACACACTAGGCTAGCTAACCAATCTGAGCTCATTGTGTTTTTCTGAGGGAGGGGCTTCATAAAAGCAGGAAATGATCAGCGCGTTTATAGGAGAAGGGACAGAGCGGTGTGGAATAAAGGTAAATTGTGTGAAAAATAATGTTGTTTTTTTTTAAACGAAGCATTAACACATTAGACTGCACCCCAATAACACAATCAAGCCTAGAAAAAAAAACAGTCAACCACCCCTTTAACTCTCTACTTTTATGTTGTTGGATTGTAACTGTGAAGCGTTTTAGCTCGGCTGTCATGAGAAGTAAATGCAACTTATATCTGATTAAGTTCAGATATTTATGCTGTGATTTGTTTCTTTTTTTAGGAGACAAAAATCAGAACATGCAATTTTAAATTGAAGACGCCAGACAAATCAACATTCACAGTACGTTTGGACAAAGACTTTCGAAGGAAATTTATGAACGTTGAGAGGTGAGAAATCAGTGCTTTTTCTGCTCATGTTATCATTTTAATTAAGAGGTTCATTACCTACACTACCATTCAAAAGTGTGAGGTTGGTAAGATGTTTTAGTATTTTGGAAAGAAGTCTCTTATGCAGCCCTATACCAAGGCTGCATTTATTTGTTCAAAATACAGTGAAAACAGTAGTACACTCTTAAAAATAAAGGTGCTTCACAATGCCATAGAAGAACCTTTTTTTTTGTCTAAATGGTTCCATAAAGAACCTTTAACATCTGAAGAAGGTTCTTCAGGTTATAAAAAGGTAAGAAAGAGATGGTTCTTTAAAGAACCTTTGACTGAATGGTTCTTTGTGGAACCAAAAACGGTTCTTCTATGGCATCGCTGTGAAGAACCTTTATTTTTAAGAGTGTATTGTAAAATATTATTACTATTTCAAATAACTGTTTTTTTATATTTTTTTTATTTTAATATAATTAAAAATTTAATTTATTCCTGTGATGGCAAAGCTAAATTATCAGCAGCCATTACTTTAGTCTTAAGGGTCACATGATCTTTCAGAAATCACTCTAATAATGCTGATTTTATGCTCAAGAAACATTTATTCTTATTATAAATTTTTCAAACCGTTATGCTGCTTCATATTTTTGTGGAAACCCTGATACATTTTTTCAGGATTTTTGATTAATAGAAAGTTTAATAGAACAGCATTTAGAACAACAAATAAATCTTTTGTAACATTATACATGTCTTTATTGTCACATTTGATGAATTTAATGCATTATTGCTAAATAAAAGTATTCATTTGTTTCCCCAAAAAAATCTGAAAGACCTAAAACTTTTGAATGGTGGAGTATTTAACATTTTTCCATAAAGAATAACATCTGAAGAAGGTTCTTCAGGTTATAAAAAGGTAAGAAAGAGATGGTTCTTTAAAGAACCTTTGACTGAATGGTTCTTTGTGGAACCAAAAACGGTTCTTCTATGGCATCGCTGTGAAGAACCTTTATTTTTAAGAGTGTATTGTAAAATATTATTACTATTTCAAATAACTGTTTTTTTATATATTTTTTATTTTAATATAATTAAAAATTTAATTTATTCCTGTGATGGCAAAGCTAAATTATCAGCAGCCATGACTCCAATCTTCAATGGGACATGATCCTTCATAAATCATTAAAATATGTTGATTTGGTGCTCAAGTAACAGTTTTTACTATTGTCACACTTCAAAAGTACAGCATATTATTTGTAATAGAATTTTTTTGTAACAACAAAACAATTTTGCTGTCACTGTGGATTAATGTAATGCATCTTTGCAAAATAAAAGTATTACGTATGAAAAAAAAACTCTTACTGACCCCAAACTTTTGAACAGTAGTGTACAGTATTCTTACAACAATTAGATTAACTTGATTTAAAGAATAATTAAGACATAGAGTTAGAATGAAGAATAAAAAATGCCTTCTTCTGGTCTCAGAGTGATACAGATTAGATGAAACATTGATTTCTTTGCATTGTACTATATTTTCTAACACAGCATTGAGGTTGCTCCATGTCGAGACCCTGGATATTACGTTCAAAAATCCTTGAAGTCAAAGTTCATGGCAGAAGGTAACAGCGATGCTGGACTGAGCAAATACATGAGCAAAGGATTGACTCTGCCCATCAACACATTTGCTGGAATAATCGACTAAACGAACAAGGATCGGGATGGAGGCTGCTAGCTGTCAACATAAAGGCCAGTTCTGGACTCTTGCAGTATGTGTATTGTGTTTTAAACAATGCACTGTGCAGTAGTGTCGCCATGGGATCAAATGATCAGCTAAGACACTTCACCAAGCAGGTTTTACTGCAATATATACTTTTATCTGTGAATCACAAGTTGATCGGTCCAGGAAGTATTTTAATGTGTAACACAGCTAACTCACTAACACTAATGCAGGCATGGTATTGAGTTTCTCAAAGACGTAGGATTTACTTGAACTTGTTTTCTGCTTTAACAATCAACCTGCTCCTTAATATGTACACATTAAGTGTATGTGAAGAAGAGAATTCTCCACACACTGCCAGGCTTTCATCTGGATTTTCCAGCAGAAAAACAGAGTAACTGTTTATTACAGTATAATGCAGGTGCAGTGGTTCGTTAGTATGTCTGTATAACATAAAATATATGCCATATGACCAAGTGTTTCAGAGAAACTGACATTACCTTAATGATTTGCACTTCTTTGATACATTCTTTGTTTTATGCTTTTATTTTTATCCCACTATACATGTTTACAAATTTAGGACCTTCCATAAGAAGGTTTTATAGCATCAAAAACATGTTTAAAATTAAAAAGCATAAATGATATGTATTTTAATTACTGTCTATGAACAGCACTATTGTTACACAAAAGGTTCAAGCTTTGAAAGGTTGTGTTGTGCATTAAGCTGGTCAAGAGTCAAAGTCTTTCTTTAACACAATAATTAGTGGTGCCAATATTTTAATCTTCCTTACATCAATCTCTGTACATTCTGAATTATATTTTGGGGTTCTTTTCCAGCGGTTCTGATCTGATGCCAATAATCCCAGTCTTCCGGTTATGCCAGGCATTTATTTTAAAGAACAAACATGATCACAATAATATGATTATCCAACCTAATTCAGTTCTATTTCTTTTAGATTTATGGCATTAATTTATGCCAAAAGTTTGCACAATTGTTGATTTTACCTCTTGTTTTGTAAATATTGTGATTTGATTTTGTAAATACATATGCTAAATAAATGTAGCATTTTCAAATGATTGCAACAAACTTGAGTCCAGATTTATTAACACAGTTACGATGTTTAAAACTTTAAAAAAAAAAATTTGTAAGAAGAAGCATTAGGAAATAAACTTGAAGCTACCCTGACCGCACAAAAATGTTGTTGTTGTTGTTGATGATGATGATGACCACAAGATGTCGTCAAGGAGTCAGGAATAGCAGTGTAATTTCTGACGCTGCTTAATGATGTCTAGTTATCCACAGCCGTCGCTATTTTCCTCAGCAACGAGAACCGCTGGATCCGCAGCATTTTTTTTAGCGAGCTCTCTTGCTTTGCCTGTCTCAACTAAGTCAGGATATTCGTATAAGATTAGGCTTCAGTGGAGTGTGATGGATGAAAAGCGCAGAGCATCCTGTCAGTATGGGTCCCTGGAATGCACGAAATGGAAAACAGATGTGGACCAAACAGGTATCCCTACACCTCTCTGTATCAAAACCTGTCAAAACGTATTGGTGAAAGGTATAGTAGACTATCACACACTTGCATTCTCTTCTCCATTGGGGTTTGTGCAGATTGAATGTCACAGGTGGAACTTCTGCTGTTGTAAAAAATGAGTTCAGGTTGAAAAGTGTTATGCTGAGATCTGAAAACAGCCGAGTCTCATAATTTAGCCATTAATAACTTAAATGCTCTACATGGAGATATATTTTGTGTAGACTGCATGCTGTGGTGACTTTGAAATGGAAAGGAGATTCAGGATAGAAGAACGTGCCTTTTCCAGAGCTTTTGTGGAGTTTACAGTGTCATACTGGCTTTATTGCATTTGCTAAAATGCTCTCGCAGAACAGCACCTTCTGCTGCTTTCAGAAGCTCAGTTACTGAACCTTAATAATAAGGTTTTGCAAAATAAACTTATGGAGATCATCCGGGTAAAGCAACTGTGGTCCATTCAAATCAATTCCAGGGCTTCATTATCGAGGGGTGAGAACCAGAAGGGTGTAAGTCACATTTTGGGTGAAATGGATATATATATATCAAATGAAAGCTCTTGATGAGCTCTTTTTACTGGCAAAAGTATACTGTCATCCATGAGTGTACAAATTTTTATTACAAACGATTGAAATCAGTGCACAAAATCATATCAAACTATGGTAAATTTTTGTTTTGGCCCTCCTGTAAAGTTGGTGAAATGTCACTTACGCCTTTCTGGTTCTCACCCCTCGTTATCAACTGTATAATTAAAAATAAAGTAACTATAATTAATAATAATAATAATAATAATATTTTTTTCACAGAAAAAGACTGTAAAAATGCTACAATAAAAATCTGTCAATTTGTTAACTGTTAGTTATCTTACCACATGGTGAACATTTTTACTTTTACTGTAAAACGCAGTCAAATTTAGGGTTTTTGGAAGTAAGAACTATGAGTTTCCATGTCATTTATGGTGAAAAAGAATTAAAATGACATTCCTGGAAGTCCCTGCATGACACATCACAAATTTTATTTAAATGTTTTTTTTTCTTTTATTCTTCACTTGTTTTTATTACATGTCTAACCAAGAAATTCCTTTTGCAGCACTTATTGAGTTCTTATATGCACTGTACCACATTAATTCTACTGCTTTCTCACTCAGTCGAGCACATTTGAATGATTTTCCTTTATGAATGCCTAACCTGACATAAAAAGCCTCAATGCTTCAGTGGAGTTGTTAACTTGCACATGAAGGAGCAGCTTGCCTCTTGGCACTGATTTTTGAACAGCTCTTTCCGCAAGAATATTTGATTTAAATGTTCTAGTGTCATCTTAGATCAGTACCTGTCCTGAAGACACCTATTGATGGTTTGGATACAAAGAGGCTTGTGACCCAAATAAGAAAGGGGAAAAGGTCAAATTCATAAATCTAACATCAGAGAGGAAGACATTTTTAGCATGTTGTTCCCATTTCTGTCTTTTAGATAACTTAGAAATCCCAAAAAGGCTTAGTAATCTGTTAAAAAAGTCTACAGAATAAGAATTTAGATTAAACTTTCCTGCTGCAATAGGAAAAAATAGGGGTCAAGCAACTAGTGTTGTTATTGTTAACTAAAAATCAATTTAAAAGTTAAATAGATATATAAAACAACTAATAATATTGACAAAAGCACATTACAAAATTACTTAAACTATATATAAAAATATAAGCTAATTAAAAATATTAATAAATACTAAAATAGTATATAAAAACAACTAAAATAACACTGAGGAGCAATATTTTTTTTTCTGCTGATGGCCACGCATATAATTCCCGTTGTCAATAAACACTTATTTATTTAAGATCAATATTAAGTTTTAAATTTAGGTTAAATATATATGAAAGTATAAAGGGAAGTATGTATTTTAGGTGCTGGTCAACATTTTTTCACCAAATTTTATTTAAAATTGTTAAATGGTGTGACAAAAACAACAAAAAAAAAGCTGCTGGAACAGAGAAAAAAAAATCTCCAAATGGCCAAATATTGGTTGATTAATTAGTCAATACAGTGGTTTGTTACTAAATAACAAATGAAGACACGTTATATTGTTCGAAGAAATATATTATTGACGAAACAACAAAACAAGGCTTTATTACGAATGAATAATGTCATATTTCCCCATCTCACGAACTGAGTGGCCACTCAGCCGAGTAAAACTGACAGAACGTATTAGCCTCAGCCTAGCATAATGGTTACCATGCCACTCATGAGAAAGAGACAGTGCACAATGCCACTGGAGACATCAGCAGTGACATAACCAATTGTAGGATCAGGGGAAGAGTTATGCTAGGCCTCCTAAACCCTTGCAAGTAATAATTTGTTGTCTGACAGCCGAGGCTGGTAACCTGGACATGCTTGCAATTTTCTGCTGCTGCTAAAGATTTGATTTACTGGTACTAGAGGAATACGGAGGAAGTCACTGAAGAGGTTTAGAGAACCTCTTCAAGAATAGGAAGAAGGTACTAACGATAGACCTGAAGGAATTGTATAGGTTTAGTTTACGCTTCCTTTAATCGTGATCTGTAAAGAGGCTCAGTGGTTGTTTAGCTATTTTTAAATTTGCAACAGGAAGGAGGTGTAATGATGGTGAATTGATTTCAACAGACTGGTGCATCTTGAAATGTACCTCATTTTTCAGAAATCCTCCACAAGCACTGCTAATCTTGAGAGAGAAGACGTTCATTAAATTTGATATTTTCTTATAGAACGCAATCTGAGCTGTATTCAGCTTTGTGCTCGTGATCAGTGTGGCTTCAGTCCAGATCTTCTTGTTTTCTGTGTTTTCAGAGGCAGATGTGGTCTCAATGGCAGACTCTACTATCACAGTGGGAGACATAGAGGGGGAACTCTATAAGATTGAACGGATCAGAGACATTTTGATCAGGAGGGAATCTGAGCTCAGATACATGTGAGTAAACTGATTTTTACATTTAAATATTTATGATATATACCAGTGGTGTGTGGTGGTGGTGTTCTGAAATAAAGAGGCAAAGACCTCAGTTTTTTTTGTGTTTGTTTTTTTTATCAAATGTAAATTCATGTCCCAGTCACATTTTCTTGGTTAAATAAACATTACTTACACTATCAGAAAAGGAAAACAAAAAACAATTATATTTTATATTTTTACTTTAACAGTGCAATCAATATTCTGTTTATTAATGCCAAGTATGAATCTCATCATTTTAGTGTTTTTAATCATTTTACATTTATTCCAAAATAATAAATCAAGGCGGTAACAATTTAAACAATATATTTTATTTGTGAACTTATGTTTAGCTATTCTTTTTAATAGTTAATTTTAACTCATTTTGAATTTTTCAGATCAACAGTCATCAAAGCTTGTTAAATATTGGTCACAGACATGAAGATTTACTTTAAATTTCACCAAGCTAATTACGCACTAAAAACTCCCACAGATCATGTTTTATGCCATTTTAAGAATTATTTTTTCATAACAAAATAGTTATATTTAGTGTGTGAGTTTTTTTACTTCCTTTTTAAATTAGTCTTCCCATTAACAACATTATATTGTTCATTCAGACTGATTCATGAACAGAACGTTTTTCTAACACAAGAGGCGGGATTTATCGCATGAACCAATCACAGGCGAATATAACCAGTCATATCCAATCATATTGTGATGGAGGCATTGCCTCCTCTCATGTGACTTTCCCCCATTCATTCTCAATTACCCCCCAGCAAACTCACCACATGCTTTAGGGGGTCACTCAGACCCCAAGTCTGTTAAAATTCAGTGGGCTCAGGGGAGGCAAGAGAGATTGTGGACTCCTGCTGTAACTTTACCTGCTGGTGTCACTGTTGCACAGTGTTTCTTTAGAAAAACAAGTGATTTCTCCATTTTTTCATTTTATATTTTGTAATATTGGCGTTGTTTTATTTTTGTACTACAATTTTTTTTCTCATCCAATATTTTGAGGAGGCACTGCCTCCCTTGCCTCCTTGGAGGAAATGCCCCTGATATATACCATGGGGCCTAAATGTCTGTGACTGAAAACTAGTGAAAATGTCATGTCATCCTGTGGCTTCCTTGACAAGTTGTTTTGAGAATGGATGGATGGATGGTTGACAACTACTGCACTACAGCTTTGTGCAAAACTTGGTGATCCATGTTACTGTATCTATCATGATTTGAGAATGTTTCAAAGATAATCTTCTATGGGTTATATAGTTTTTTTTAGAAATTTTAAACCTGAATAGCATATTTGAATTGCATATGTCTAAATGTCCAAGACCACACTGTATTTATACGTATTACACAACTCTTTTGAATACAGTACTTCATTCTGATTGGCCAGTCTCAGCATTCTGTGGTCAAATATTTTTGTATAATGACTGCAGGGGCAGTATGTAATACTGACAACTGCACAGCAGTCCAAATTCAAAATATTGAAGGAAAGTTGTTTTTTTTCGCCCCCTCCTCCTCAGACTCGAAGCTCACGAGGGTTGCCAGATTGATGACAAACAATTGAAAAGAGCGCAATTGACAGTGGAAGGCGACAAGCCTAACACAGTTAATGAGTTGATTTGTCCGCGTTTTAATATGCTTCTGGTCATAGAACTTTTTAGATGGATGCCGAGGCTTTTTAGGTTGGGGAGAATCTGCAGTCTCTGACCCAGTTTGTTTACTGGTTTCTATGGCTACAACGCTGTGTTTTCCATCAACTGGCAACCCGGTGTGTCAAAATAACATTGGGTAAATTGGCAGTGGCTGGAATCACACAGACCAAAACAAAAAGAGACATTCAGACACAGAGCACCCATTTCAAAGTAGAATAACTGGCTGTAGCATTGTTTTTCAGAGAAACAAGTATGTGAACTTAGCATATTATGGTATTTTTTTATGAGTACAGTCAAAAAATGACATACAGCACCTTTAAGACTCGTTCACACCAAGTACAATGACTATATGCATTTATGTTGTCTTAAGCCCGAGACACACTGTATGATTTTCGTCTGTCCCAGATGATAGACTGGCATCGTGAAACATGTAGCGTCTGGACCAATCAAACACACAATTTTTCATTTGATTTAACAAATCAGTTATTCATTAGATTACGATTCGCTACAAACAATCATGGTGATTTCTGTGATTGTGGCTCCTAATCGGTGTTCCTATGTCATACAGTGAGAGAGGTTCAAAGACGGCTGTTGTCATCGTTGTCATGGCGCTAAAACATAAAACTGCTTACCTCAAGCTCTCATCCCTTCCTCTTTCGCAGCTTCCAATTTTTTTCAGCACATAAAACTACAACTGCTAAAGTGTGATTCATCATGCTCTTGTTATTTACCACTAGCGCATGCTGATGACGTTTCATTCTTCTATAGTAACATGCATGTCATACCCAAGTTTATTAGATTCATGTCAGAGTGTGATCTGCAGTGATCTTATAGGATTGCTAAAATCGTCCAGTGTGTCTCGGGCTTAACTTGAGTTCTTTGGTGAATTCTGATTGGCTTTCAATGTTTTTTCACGAAAATTGTTCTGAAAGTAATTCTAACAATATCAGTCCTCTGTCATTATCATTACAGCTGTGGACTTCCCTATTCGTATAGAATTTGAACAATTATTATAACTTTATAGTTATAGTTATCATTCATGATTAAAATTAAAAAAGGCCATTTTACCTGTATAACCTACCGTTGCCCAGGCAATTTTTTTCATGAATCACTCTACAGTCTCTTTCTTGGCATGTGATAAAATAAGTTAAACTCAAATCAATTATTCACAGTCCATTTGGGTCCTAATCACCATTTCTGGGTTTATTTAGCAATAACAACCTGCTGACTGTAAATTAACCCTTACATATTAATATTTACGTTGGGGTTTTGTTCTGTACATGTCAAACACTTCAAAATAAGTTCAAGCTGTAGCCATGTCATTAATGTTTTTAGATTAACAGAAGTGTTTTCTTTAATTACATTTTCACATTCCAGATAAACACACTACATGAACAGTAAAATTGTGTCAATTATAATTGACAGTCAACAGCCAAACCCACAAGCCTTTAGTGGTTCATAAAGTTGATCTGAGATTCTTCTCACCATCACATCTGCAGTCATCTGTCCTTCCTTTTCCCATTACCAAGAGCTACAATTAGCCAGCTGCCCCTCATTAAGATGTTAATGCTTTGCTTTTGATGCTGCCAGAGTGTCTAATGCATGGATATTGGTTTCCCCTCACAATCGTTTGGGGAAGAGATTTGGCTATCACAAAATCAGTGGGGCGTTTCTTCCCAAGTGTTTGATTGGTTCGCAGCCTCCACAGTCTGTCTCAACTGAATCGAAGAGATACAGAGAGAAATCCAATGGTACAGCTTCATCATTAAACTGCGTATTTGGTTTACAATTCAGAGACTGGATGCACTCTAAATACTACTATCTGACACGAGAAGCATGCAAAATGGTAACATCTTAATTAACTGGTTTTATTAAAGTCAAAAATATGAATTTATACCACAAAAACTAAATTGCTGTAAGGTAACATTTGCAGGTTAGAGTTAAAAAGCTATTCTTAGTAATTCTTTGAATATCATGATTTAAGTGATTCAAATAATTTAATCTAATAACCAGTGATATCATTAGAAAGCTTGGTACATGAGTACATTATCACTTGTTTTTGTTTGCATATACATTGAAACATTGACTACATTGCAAACATATTGACAGCATCTTTGCTTGCGTTTAGACAGCAAAAAAGACAAATATATCATAATTTAAACTTTTTTTTTTTTTTGCTTACATTAAATTTCATTGTTGTATAAAAATATCTATTTGCATCCCAAATTGTCAGTGTGTTGCAGCTATCCAGATGTTCAACATAGACTTATCTATATTGAAACTAATAAAAACTGTTGTTATTATTAAATACACTTATCTGACTTGTATAGATCTGATTTTGTATTGATGAGAATTTGGGTTAGGGACTCAAAGGAGCCAGTTGTACAAAAATGAATGTGTTAACTGCAAACAAATACTAATAAGATCAGGATGCATGGGCAGTGTTCAGACTCTCATTGCCACTGCAGTATATAGTAGGCATACTGTGTATAATACGCAAATGTTCTGTATGCATGGGTGACCTACTGCAACTGCCAAAATGAACAGTAAACTTATGTGTTAACTACAAACAAATACCTACGAATACTAATAAGATCAGGATGCATGGGCAGTGTTCAGACTCTCATTGCCACTGCAGTATATAGTAGGCATACTGTGTATAATACGCAAATGTTCTGTATGCATGGGTGACCTACTGCAACTGCCAAAATGAACAGTAAACAACAGAGCTTACAGCATGGAATACTGCATCCCAAAATGCAATGCTTTCACACAAAATTTGAGAACAAAATGTAAACTGGATGCTTTCGTTAAATTTTATTTTCAACACCATAAGGTCATGTGACAACAGTGTAGAAAATGTCTGTTTGAGATGTTTATGGTAGGATAAAGCTTACTGTTTTAATTACTATTAAATGAATTAGACAGTATACAGTGTTCAGTGTTCAAGTTTTAGCTGGTATTCCATTCCGAATATTGCAAAGTAAACACTGAGTCACACTGTGAAGCTTTTTACATGCTCAACACTGTAAAACATGTGACCCTGCAACTATTATTTAAAAAAAGTTATTTTTATTTACTTAAAAAGCTACTTTTATTTAAAAGCTAGTTTTGTTGGTGTCACATATTTTAGTTGGTTCAGTAATGTTGCTCATGAAGCAGATTTTTTTGTAGTGAAGACTGTAAATGCTTCTGCATGCTTTAGAACAATGCAGTGTTATCATATTTACCTGTTCTTTTGTTTTGCAGGATGGATGATATCCAGTTATGTAAAGAAATTACAAGACTGAAGAAAGAGCTTCAAAAGCTTTTGTCTATCCCAGGTGAGATCTGGGAAAGCCTCTGGAATAAATTAGAGTAAAAATTCAAGAAATACTGTTTAATGTTTTTTACAGTACAGCTGTAAAAGCTCCTTCAACTATACCTTTACTGAGGTTACTGATAAAAATTTGAGATCTCTCTCGTTATTCAATTGCTTTTACAGTTTTCTAAAAGTAGCACAACATGCACTACTAATAAAGCCAATATATTAATTCCAAACTTGCTTTGCAGAAATTATTTTGATAAACACTTGTGTGTTTCTGTTAGCGTATAAGAAGTGGCCTGGTCTTAGTAAGCATGACAATGAAAGCTGTTGCTTGGTAAAAAAAAATATCCAATGGAAAATCCATTTTCAGATAATGACAAGTCTAACGAAGACAAACAGAAGGAGGAAGAGCTTCTGAAACAGATTCATAAATTAGTGGAGGCCAGAGACTTCTTAGTAGATGACGTGGAGTTTGAGCGTCTCAGGTAAGCCGATTTTAGCATGCTGGGAAATGAAGGAGGCTGACACACTATTCATTTGCACCCTTTATTAAATCTCTGACTGAGCTCAATTCTGGGGCAGACAGAATTCTGTCTAAGGCATGAGGGAAAAAAAACATTATTCACCCTCTAAGTACAGAAGTAATAGGATTTTATTTGTAATAAAGCCATGCTGCCACATCCTGTCTCAGCAATGTCAGGAATTGAATTCAGGAAAAGTCTGCTCAGTGCTTGTGGCATCTGCACAAATTTGCGATTGAATCTTGACTTTGAATCCAGTGTTTTGCCTTGTGTATAACAATGTAATTATATTAACATAATGTAAATGCATTTAACCCCAAAAAACTCTTTCAGTTTTAGTGCATTTGTATAGTCAGTGCAAAGGAATAATTACTATATTGGAGCTCCATGTTAATAATTATCAGCTGAGGAAAAACTGGATGTATTTTTAGTCCAGCTGGTGTTAAACACGTGGAGCACATCACAGTGTATAGGTCCATTTCCAGCCAGTTCTCAAAGGCTGGAATGGAAGTCATGTAACATGTTGCAAACCATTCACTTCCACTGAGCAGAAGTCTTTTGTAAAGCCAGCAGAATACCATGAACAAATAAAGAAAGAGAATTGCATGATACATTAATTGACATTATATTTTCAGATTACATTTCCCAGCAATAACATGAAAACCTTGAGCTAACTGAAGGACATGAAGGCCATGCATAAATAGCAAATGATACAGTCAGTCTTCACACAATGCATTGCTTCATAATCACCATATTACTTCTGCTGTACAGGGAACGGGAGGAGGACAAAGAGATGGCTGAATTTCTCAAGTCCAAACTACCGAAAAGCTCTCAAACCAAGAGTAAGTCATTCTTTTATGGTTGGTAGAACAAAAGTAATGTTTATGATTTTATTGGTCATGCAGTTAAAATATGAAACTTCTTTATTACATATAGGGTGACTAGAATACAAATAAGGTGGGATATTTTGTAAACATTAGTCACTGGCTATGTTTCAAATGGTTTAGCCTCTCACACAGCCCTAACTAACTCTAAAGGCTGTACAGTAATACAGTACATGATTTTTGCTCAGAATTTTGCCCCAATTTACAGTCTGGACAAACTGACACTGTTGCCAAAAATTAGAGCTAGTCTGCAGATTTGAGTTGACAGATTTAATAGAAAATTGCATAGTGTATGATGGTCACAGTCTCATATTTTTTTAGCTTCAGACTCAGATTCTGTCCAGTCAGGGTAAATCAAACATGTTTCATATTTTGAGAACACATATTGTTTTCATTTGTCACTTATCTCCTAGCAACAAGGCACATTTTTTGTGTTCTGAACGACTTAAAAGTCAGGAAGTGAGTGTTGTTTAGTGTATGATATGTCCAGTTTTCAGCTATAGATTTTAAAAGTCATGTAGTATATTCCAGCCTTAACTCTAACCCTAACCCTAACCCTACCATACAGTATATATATATACAGTGGGTACGGAAAGTATTCAGACCCCCTTAAATTTTTCACTCTTTGTTATATTGCAGCCATTTGCTACAAAATAAGTTTTTGTTTGCATAATATATGTGAGTGTTCTGCGTATATTTATTATGTATATATAAATACATACACACAGTATATATTTTGAAAATATTTACCTGTATTTACATGTCTATATTTATATTCATATAATTTATATTATAAATTAAATTCTTAAAAACTCCTGCTTAATAAACTAATAGAGAATGTTTTTAAGTATTAGATAGATCTGTGGTGGGAAAATGTTCTTGTTACCTTGTTAAACTCAGTTAAAATGGTTTACTTCTAGTCATTGCATCTTTGTGTATAAAACAACTCTGTCTATGAAACTCTTGTATGTAGGTGTTGCCCGCAGTGGGAGAAGGCCGCCCAGAGCCCAGCAGACTACTCCCTTTGTAACCAAGACAGGCCTCACTTTGCTGAAAGAGTGCTGTGGATTCACCTGCTCTATAATGTAAAAGACACACTTTCAGCAGTGACAGCAGGAACACAATGCAATTCTGGAACCTTGGATGAGGATGACCTTTTAATGACACCAGGAGACTCAAAGAATATGATGCGAACCAAAGCTAAAGGTTTCTGAAAGACAAAGCTATGAAGTTGTCCGTTTAGGAATAACAGTTTAAGAACACTCTTATATTGTTTCGCATTCTTTCATATTTTTCCGCACCCATTTGCTCGCTTTCTACCCAACTCTCATTTTTCTTTGAAAAATCCTGTTTCTTTGTATTACAGAGACCATTTTGTGCCCTCTCAAGGGTCCTGCTGTCAGCAGCTCAGCTGGCTTGCTGTCATTCCCTACCCTTATCTTGTCCCTCATGAGACATTGCTACAGCACTGCAGTACCTGTGACTTCATCATCCATAAATGCTCAAGTTTCAGTAGAGGTTCCATTTAGACTGCTGTTTCTTAGCCAAGCCAGGCTCATTGGAAATATGTGCCTGTGGCAACATTTATGCGAAATAACATTATGTTGCTTCTTGCATTTTTTCACAACCCATTGAAAGTCAAATTTTCCAGTGAGTGGCGCTAACTGGACGTTCAGTTTTATCCGAAACAGATGAACATGAATCTGGCGCAGTTTTATTATATTGTTTTTTATACATATGGTGGCAGTTTGGAAATTAAATTTCGGTGAGTGGCATTAAAATGTTCTATCATATGTGCAAATAACGTACCACCTATACTAATCCCTACCCTAAATTTAACCGATAGTGTTAAAGGGGTCATATGATGCTTTTTTAAAGATCATTATTCTGTGTATTTGGTGTAACAGAATATGTTGACATGTTTTAATGTTCAAAAAACACATTATTTTTCAAATACTGTACATTATTGTAGTAAACATGAGATAAAAACACTCACTGAATGAACAATGCCATTTAATCTTGCTTCTATAAGTCCTTGAGCTCATTTATTGTGATTGTGTTTCACAGGACCCGTACCCGAGCGCTCCACATTGCAAATACAATGCTGTACCAGGTGAGCTAATGAGCAAGTTTACTATGCCAGAAAAGCCATATATGGAGCTGATTATATGATGCAAACTTCAAAATGCATTAGTTTACACAGTATTGTTCAAGGAACCCTGCACAAGACTTTATTAATCAATAATCTGCCCCCTTATTCATAGTTTGTGTGAAAAGGAATAAAAGTTGTCTGTGTTTTACTGCTTTATATTTCTGCTGGAAACTGCAGTGCATTTTCCAATGAGCCTGGGTTGTGCTTAGTCCATGTACAGTGGCTAATGAGACATTTGCACCACTGGTTGAACAATTAAGCTAATTTAGTTATTTTATTATGTTACAACAATTTCCATAATTGACAATATAACAGTTTTCTCAGCAAACAGGAGCCTAGGCGCTTGCACATAAAAAATGAATTAAGTAAAGAACATTTCATTCGGGTGAACATCATCTAATAGAACCACATGCCAGGAGCCTGTCCTTTCCACAGCTTGAAGTCCAGCATGTCTCACAGTGCCAAAGCATGTTGTTTCTGTTCTCTGGTGAAGTGCTTTCAACAATGTCAAGGGCTCTTCTCTGTGGAGACAAGGCTCCATAGCAACCAGCGCATAGAACAATTCATCTTTAGTCGCTTTTAGTGGCTTTTTAGTAGCTAAAAGTGTCATTAATCAGGATTCAATTCACACATTTATAGAGCGTATCTGTCGATGATAATGGAAAAGATCAACATGCCAGTATGGCCAGGTGAATCTAAAAATAATACTAAACATTTTGGATTTTGTTTGCACAAGTGCAGGACTCCACTAAAACGTATCATTAAATTAACTAATCAGCTTTGACCCTGAATGTAATTATGCTTATCAGTTTATTCATTTTATGTTGCAGGATTAATTACGGTATTAAGCATTATGAGGCGTTGTGTTAAGGAGCCTTTTAATTAGTATGTTAGACTGCTGTGGCTCACGGCTCTCAGCAGTGAGTATTGTGAGTGGAAACCCCTGTTGACTCTAGTCTTAATGAGTATTTATCGCTAGTTATAGGTTGTTGCTGTCACTCATACGTTAACCACCTGACTGCAGTCTGTCTCTTCTGAGTGGACTGCTCACATCTGCTCATTAATCTGAAGGGTATATTTCTCAAACATGAAATGAGCTGATTTTGTTTGCTGAACTTGAAAATTTCCATTTGCTTGTATCTTGTACTTTATAGTTTACATATGAAAATGATACAGTGTGCCATCGGCTTATTATTATACAATGAATTGTCCGATTTCTTCATGTTTCTCTTCATATAAATTGCACCCGAAATCAACCCGATCTCATGGGGAATTTGTATGAATTCGATTTTTACAGAAACGTGATTTTAGAGGGGGGAAAATAGGCTTAGCATGAAGGTATACCCCTATAACACAAAATCAGATTGTATAAAATCGTATGGATTCATATGAATGAAAAAAACTGAATTGCCATGAAAGTGTTGTCATAAGTATTTTTAGTATTATTTAAGAATTATTTATATGCTATTATACTTTTATTAATATTTTGAATTAGATTTTTTGTTCAATTCAAGTTTATTTGTATAGCGCTTTTCACGATACAAATCGTTGCAAAGCTCCAATCTTTTACATTTTTAACACACTCTGTTAGCTTAGATAATTTAGAAGTTTCATCTGGTCTTTTTCTGGTTTTCATTTTTTGTATATTTTCCATTTTCATTTTAGTTTTAGTTTATTTTTATTTCATTTATTTTTTGCTATGTCGTGCTATTTTTAAAAATATTTCTTAAACAATGATTTAGTTGCCATGCCAACATTTAAAATTTTCATTTACATCAAGTTTATCTCAAATTAATTTTTTTATTTATTTCAGCTTTTTAATAGTTTTATTATGGTTTTAGTTTTAGTTAACAATAACAACGCAATCATTTCAATTGTTCCATAAACAACAGATAACCATTTCCAATGCAACTGTAACCCAAAGGGATTTTCCTTTAAATATCATCTGGAAAACATCTGCTGCCTTTAGTAGCTGCTGATTAGATGTAAAACACAAAAGCTTGGTTTCTGTATGACATGAATTTCTATAGAACACTGCAGCTACAATTAGAGAAACTGTTTCCCCTGAGGTTGTCTCCTTTATGAAAGGATAAAACAGTCAGGTTACACTCTGATGAGTTCTTTCATATCGCTCTCATCTCTCTTTTGCTTTTTCTTTGGTTAGACTGATGTAGTCCAGGTTAAAGAGTTATTTTCAGCACTGGGTTACGCATCTTGAAATGCTACACTCTCAAATTACTTTCGATGAAACTGGTGGAGCAAACTTGTGTAGCTATTAAGTGTCTGTAGAAGCTATATTGTCTCAGGTGTCTTTATACAGTCTATTGACATGACAGCTACCAACATGATTATGATTATGTCACAAACCCTGTCTGTGTCTCTGTTCATGGACTCTTATAGTTTGTAGCTGTTCGTTGCCTTTTTCCCTCATGTTTTCCCAATTGATGCTCTTGTCTTGGATTTCTGGTCTTGCTTCTGCCCTTTCTCCATGTTTCTGTTCGTTAAACTGCTAGCATTTGGATCTGCCTCACCTCGTCTATATCCCAGCATAACAGATTATTTATAATGATACAGTGTTTATGTGATTTGCTAAATTACAATATAAATTGATGCATTACTGATAATGATGAATAAGCTGATGGCATTAATACATTGTCTCTGAATTATAGTAGCACAGTCAGTCATTAGCATTTCCAGGGTTTAAATGTTAACTTTAATTTTAAAACAAAATATGTTTTAACATTTAATTCCTTTATGTTATTAATGTATATATGGACTTTTATGTATGTATGTATGTATGTATGTATGTATGTATATATATATATATATGTACTTATTTATTTACATATTTACACTACCATTCAAAAGATTTGGGTCTGTAGGATTAAAAAAACTGCATCAAATTAATCTGTAAAGACTATAGACAATATAATAGACCAAAATAAATTTAAAATAAATGCTGTTCTTTTGAAGTTTATATTTAAAAATCTGTTTAAAGAATCCTGAAAAAATCCACAAGCAGGACAACTGTTTTCAACATCAATAAAAATAAGAAATGTTTCTCACTAATTAGAAAGATTTCTTAAAGATCATGTGACACTAAAGACTAGAATAATGGCTGATAAAAAAAAATATCCAGCTTTGCGTCATTTCATTCATTTTAAAATATAATAGAAAAGTGATTGTAAATTGTAATATTTACAATATTATCAAATAAATGTAGCCTTGGTGAGTATAAGAGACCTTTCAAAAACATCAAAAAATCTTGACCCCAAACTTATGAATGGTATAATGAATATCATTTTAAAAATGTATCTGCCATGGCACTGTTTTTGTTCCTTTTTTCAAACTGTTTTGTCTCTATTATATATATATATATATTTTTTTTACCACAGAAATAATTTATACTTATCTGACTGTCAGTTGCATGAGGAAAAACAATTACATGTTACATCATTGTTCTAAACTGAAAAGCGATATAGTCACTGCAATGTATTACTGTAAAATACAGATTGTTTCTAATCATGAATCCCTACACAGTCTACTTTTTCAATGTTCCAATTGATTGTCTTCTTAGATCAGACATACATTTTAATTATGAAAGGAGGACAAAATGTTGATGACAAATTATGCCTTGCAAACTGAAAATGATGTGCATAGTTTACCAGCTGGCTCCATCTCTTGTTTTAGAATGGCACATGTTTATCTCTGATCTTTGCACAGGACAGGCTATACATTCCAATAAATCCAGTCCCTCTGTTCCATGAAATATGCATGCTAATAACCCAAGAGTGTCTGTCTCCCTAATTAATGACCCCAGCACGTCCGTCAGTCTTATTCATTTATGCTGTTTGTGAAATCTAATTTTAAATCACTTGATATTCTATTCACAGATCTATACAACCCACCCGGACCAGTAAGCTGTACCTTCCAGATTTTCCTAGTGAAGTAGGACAGTGGCTAATCTGTAAAATATCTATGAATATGTTTAAATAAAAGAGTTTCTATTAAACTTCAGCTGTTCAGAGATTTGTTCTGAGCATTTCAACAAAGTACCATATCTCAGGCTCCTGTACTCAGGGCTAAAACAAACCTTAGATTGACCATGATAAAGGTGATTTATGCTGCAAATAAATGAATCCTTGCAAGGTTTTTTTTTTGTGTTTTTTTTGGGGTGATGTCTGCCAATGAGGAACCCCAGAGTCCAAGTGCACATGGCCAGTGCGATAATCCATTCATTTAAATTCAGAGTGATGTCAGAAATTAATCCATCTCACTGCTTATCTTCCTCACATTTTTTATACCAGAATGACAAGCAAATGCTATCCTGATTACGCAAAATATATATGCATATGCATATGGGTCATATGCAATACTGTTCTAATACAGAAGACCTGGGTCTGAGACATACAGCTGTTTTGTCTGACAGTGCGACAAGAAGGTTGCCATGGTAGTCTGAGTGTTAAATCACATTCCATTTTGAGTATAGAAGTCATGTTAAACATGTGCAATGTTATATTTAATTGCCAAAATAACTTTTATTTTCATTCTTCTATTCATCCACATAAATTATTGCACTACAATCAAATAAATAAATAAACAAGCAAATAAAGTCTTGCTTTCTAGAAAAATATCCTATGTCAAATATTAAAATAAGACATTCATTTGAGAAGCAAAATTTTGAAGCAGAGATGCAAAACTAAGACTTGTCTTAGGAGAAAATACAGTATTTTG